AGGTGAGCTAAAAAGGTGAAAGAAAAAACAAAACAAAACACCAACAAAAACATAATAACACCAGGTACAATATTAGTTCAACCAATCTTATAACATTTCACTATTTAACACCACAAAAATGTAACATTCAAAATATACAAAATTATAAATCAAATACCAGCTAAGAGATGAGTGATCTCCCTTTGAGTGTTGAATACTGAGCAATACAAATGAACGGAAAAATCAATTTAAATGCATTTTTTACCACACATTAAATAAAAAAAAGAATGTTCTCACTTTTGGCAGTGTGAAAAATCAAATGCATGTGAATAATTGGGACAAAGTCAGGGTATAATATATTGTAAAATACAAAATGATAAAATATGTACTAAAATATTATGTCAATTTTGTATTAAGATAGAGAAAAATAAATAAATGTTACAGGCTTATATTTTCTAACAATTGTAACATTAAAGTGAATTGGTCTATAATGGAAGGTCTTTAAATAATCATGATGACAACATTTCGTATCAGATATAACAACAAACCAGTAATAACTTAAGGAAGTTGTTGGCAAGTGTGAGATACAGGATCCAATATTACATACATTTATATAGCAGATAATAAATTGATTCAGCACAAAATATTATTATTGCTTAAACTAAGTCACTACTTAAATTAATATTTTCAAGTCAATATTTCAGAAGAATATCTTAATGATACAATAGCATGTTCTAGTGTTTTTTTTAACATTTGTAATACTAATGGAAAATTTCCCCCATTGTAGACCAATCCACTTTAAGATGATCAAAGATGATTTACACTAAATTACTCTTGTCTTTTAGTCTATGTGATCATATTAATGTCCATCTGAACTCTAACTGCATTACCATTTGACAAACTTAAATTTCACTATTGACTCAATAATTTAAAATTTTCATTTGAGCCGTGTCACAACAAAACCAACATAAAGGGTTTGCGACCAGCATGGATCCAGACCAGCCTCCGCATCCGCACAGTCTGACCCTATAACAAGTAAAGAAACTGATAGCAAACAACATGGATCCTGATCAGACTGCGCGGATGCGCAGGCTGGTCTGGATCCATGCTGTTCGCAAACCCATTATGTTGGTTTTGTCATGATGCGGCTCATTTTTATATCCCTATAGTCAATGATGGACAGCTCCTAAAATTGGAAACTGAAGAACATTTAACAAATTCAGTAGGTTAAAGATACTTACAGAAAACATATTATAAAATATGGGTAGGAGTGATAAACATTAAGTTCCATTTAAAGTATTTCAACACAATGCATATGAAGAATGGAATTTTGTGGAAGAGGACACAAAAATAGGATAACTTCCATTAAGGGCACACATAAAATTCATCTTCAATATTAACAAGCCTTATAGAATTCAAATAATCAAATCTTATTGTTGTTCAACAACATTTGTTTTAAAAATTTGAGAATTTGAGATACTGTAAAATAATTCATTACTTTTCTGTTTAACTGACCAGTATATAATACCAAGTTAGAGTGACAGCAGGAAAATCATTGCCACATTCCAATTCCTATTTATTTAACCATCAAATAAGTACGATTTTCTAAAATGGATTTCAGTATTCTCGATGTAAATGAACCATATGAAATGCTATAAGCTATATTACCCCGTACAAACTACAAATACAAATAAAATCTATATAGACATTCATCTTTATATATTTAGGTATGAGTCAATATATTTAAATAAAAAAATGCATCTCCTTAAAACTTGCTTCATCTGAACCCGTTTAAAAAGAAATAATAATCTGTTGATAAATGCACGGTATAATAATGTTCAATGCTCACAAGGTCATACAAGTATTCTGTAAGTTGTATAATGCACTTTGGTCTAAATGAAATTGCCCAAGTCTTGTTCACACTATCTTTTCTGCAGTTAACTGTCACTTGTGTTGTTTTCTTTAGGTGTAGGTATTTGGTTGAATTTCTGACTTTTCATGGGACTAGAGTCAATTTGGCACCATAAACACTGTCTAATATCATCAAAACACTAGTCTCTTTGCAAGTCCTGCTAAAAAATATACCAAAAAAAGACAAATTAAGTATTATTACAATACTGCACCTTTGTAATTATGATGGTTATATCATTGATATGTAAGACTGCTGTCAAATCATGTGGTAATTTTCATTTTTCTTTAAAACTGCAATGTCAAAGGGTGCAAAACTGCTGTGTCAAAGGGTGCAAAACTGCTGTGTCAAAGGGTGCAAAACTGCTGTGTCAAAGGGTGCAAAACTGCTGTGTCAAAGGGTGCAAAACTGTGTCAAAGGGTGAGAAAAATGCGCAGTCTGGCTGGGATTCAAACCCAAACTGAATACTGTTCTGTAGCTCTTACAGACTGAGCTATCCAGCCACTTACACATCTCCCCTAAATAGTGAACTTTACCACACTATCCTGCTATCTTGAACTTTGCCCTGGAATTTCTAAGGGTTACAGAGCAATGTGAATTTAACTCTGTGCTATATTCTGTCACTGCCCCACACTGGGTGCCAAATTTCACAGGCTGAGAAATGTGCAGCCATACAATCTGTAAGACAGCTTCCTAACTAACAATATACACTCCTAATAAAAACGTGTTTTTTTTTTATAATATGAATATAAAATCAATCACAAGCCGACACAAGCTATACATGGTAGTATAGTAAGTAGAAGTAAGTATAAGTAAAATAGTAAGTGCTACACCAAAAAACATTCTATATGCACCAAAACTAATGTCTTTAACAAAACATATTTTAAAGGCAAGTAACTCAGAATATCTCAATTTATAACCCTTATCAATAATACATCTTCTAAAGAGTAATGACCCCACGCAAGATCTTTTAAAAAATTCTGACATGGCTCCTTATTCTATAGGAAAGTATGAAATCTATTATTTTCCTTTGAACTGTGTACTGTTAGGTATATCAATCTAATGATCATATTGATGGGATGTATCACTGATGGATAAAGATCCTTAAATCTCACATACACATGTAAATATATATATATATATATAAACATACCAGATTCTCCATCAATTTTTCTCTTCAGACTGGGTTTACATTGGTCCATTATTTCTTTCTTTGTGTTTCCTATCATAGGCAGCAAATGGTTGGGGGTTGGATACGGCTTGTTGAGGAAATAATCACTCTTTAATGCCTGAAACAAATCCACACTTCTCCTTTGACATATGCTACAGTCAAAAACACATACATGAATACCAACTGAAAACCCTGTTTTTTTTACTTCAGACAATATTTCCAATAAACGGGCAAGTGTGACTTTTGGTTTAGACAGAATTTATTTTAGTTCAATTGTGCAGGAAGCTATAAGCTTATAAACGCACTTTCGAATCCGTTCCTGAAACCAACCAGTACTGAGCAATGAGTGTAAAGTTCCTTGCTCAAAGAAACGACTTGCCCCTGTCTGGGTTTCATGCGGCAGGCGATCATTAGATTTCTAGTCGGAAGCCTTAACCACTTGGCCATGCCGCCACAAAAATGTGACTTTTGTTAACAATGTATTAACAGTGCTAAGACAAAATTTATAGTATTAAATTTCATGATTGCACGATAACTTAGACTATAGAAATGATAGCAATTTTATCAGAAAATGTGCACTGTGCATGACTCTCGTTTTTGTGTAGTTTTCATATGTGATAAAATTAGTATTACATTCGCGTAGGTTCAAAACTTAATTTAATGAACTGATTGAATAATACAATGCTGGCATGACGCTTGCATAATATGATTCTATTCCACTAGTTCAATAAATTCATTATTGAACCTAAACTCATTCAATATCTTGTTTATATATCACACACATACTTCAGTGCAACAAGTTATAGGTTAACCAGCAAGCAATATAAACAATGATTTGTTTGTTTGTTTTGGGTTTTACGTCACATCGACACAGTATAGGTCATATCGCGACGTTCCAACTTTACTGGTGGAGAAAGACCTCAAGTGCCCTTCCCTGCATTATTTCAGGCACGAACGGGCACCTGAGTAGAACCACCAACGTTCCATAAGCTAGCTGGATAGCTTCCTCACATGAAAGAATCCAAAGTCCCTGTCAGGATTCGAACCCACAGCGGTGAGGGGCAAGTGGTTTGAAGTCAACGACCTTAACAACTCGGCCACGGACGCCCCCTATAAACAACAATATGTTGTATAAAACACTGCTCCTGAATGAAGATACAACAGTACAGGGTAACTGTAGATAGATATACCTGTGTTGCAGTAAGACGTTTCAATGGATCCATGGTTAGCATACCCTGTAGAATATCTAGAAGATCATCAGAGGCGGCTATAAAAATTTCCTTCAACGGGGTACCAACACATGGTTTAAACTGTACAAAATCTGGTAGATGTTCCATTGCCTACAGAGATGAGGTAATTAAACAATCAAATAAATGCTAATTTTATACTATATTACTTTAAACATCAGTCTGGCCATTTATTGATGAAAACTTATATATCTTGATGTTTGTTATAAATGGTTACTTCATATTATAGATAACTGCACAAAAAATTTTATAAATAAAATTATGCATACCATAAATGTATAGAGCAAGACATGTTTAATATAAATGGGTTGGTATACGAATAACCATTCAGCTAAAAGGACCTGTTGCAAAAAAGACCAATTTTTCAAACAATGTGGTCAAAAGTTCAAATATGATTCAAAATTTGACTTTTGCTGTGATTCATTTCCCTCAAATTACATAGTTTTTAAAGAAAACAAATTTCTTAATTTGAAGGACCAGACCTTATTCCGAAAATAGACAAGAAAAAACAAAACACTTCTTACAGGCCATTCCTCCTTCGCAGGTGTACCAAGGCATTGAAATATTTTACTAAGTTGATCAAGATCTGTATCACCAGGAAGAAAAGGTATCTGAAAGAATATATAATAGTTAATGATCTAGATTTGAAATTGGACAAGTTGTTTTTACAGTTAGCTATTGGAATTTTCAGTCAACTATATACATTGTTGCTGGACAAGTATCCAGAGTGGCACTAAACTTGTCATATAAACAAATCGTTTTTACTGCTAAGATAAAAACATTTTATTTTCAATAAACAAATAGAACTTAATGACTATTCTATAGATAAGCTGCACGTATACATATTTATCATCTTTTTTTTTTCAAATTATTATAAATGTGATACATGTATATAAAAGCTAATTTATAATGGTTACAAACAAGAAGATTTTGACAAGATGTTTTAGACTGTGTTCCTACCACAACAAAACAACCAACTTACTCTCAGGAGAAGCTCTGCTAAAATACATCCAACTGCCCATATATCCACACCAGTTCCATAGTTTCTAGCACCAAACAACAACTCTGGACATCTGTACCATCTGAAACAAATCAACGGTACTGTATTCCAACATAATTATTATTTAACATATACAATGTACAAATGTTTCATCATAAGAATGCTTTCAAAAAAGAAAAAACACAATGGCAAGATCTTGTTAGGTCAAAAAGGAGAATTATAGAGTTGGTATCCTAGCTAGTGTTATTGGTCTTGATTATGTTCCAGAAGACATCTTGAAGTTTAAGTGGAAATTTCCAGTGTTTGTGTTTTAATATAATCGTCAAAGTTTTTCAAGTTTATAACTATAACTATATGCTGACTAGAGCCGAGGTGAATTACTTATTCTTTCATGTTTAAAATACAAGTGGTAGAAATTTGGTGGTTAATTCTACTCATTTCCAAGTAGTAAATATATCTTTTATATAAATCATATAAATTATTAAAAGTGAGTCTGTTGTTAGCTTGAAAACACTGATGGGACAAGTTAAAGGTAAATCTATATATGAATAACAACAAAAAAGATCCTTATCATACCTTGTAACTACTTGATGAGTATATATTCTGTTTGGGGAACCAAAAAATTTGGCAAGACCAAAATCACCAAGTTTAAGTACACCTTCTTTGTTGATGAGTAAATTATTTGGTTTCATATCCTACAATAAAAAAGAAAGAAAGTTCAACAAATATGCATTATTTACCATTGTTATTTCAAGAAACCAATGAACAGACATACATGTATTTCAAATGCTGGTATGCAACAGCAAGCCTAAACGCAGAAATAGTAAATTTGGAAAATTGTAATCACAGCCCTCCACTCACACAGAAAAGCTGGCTTAGTATCTCAACAAAGAGAAATATCAAACTAATGGAAATCTAATTAATTCATCACTTTTTAGTTCTTTTTCCATATGCCAGAAATCTAAATTATCCCACACACACTAGAAGAAGCCAGCATTCAATCTTCTACACTACAAGTCAGTGATTTATTTTTACTATCTTTACAACAATCCCTAATTATTAAATTGACAAATTATTGAGTGGTGAATAGAAGAAAATGAGGAAAAAAAAAAACCCTATTATTATTTTTAACATACTTGGGTGTAATGGTTGTTTATTTTGTAAAAAGCTATTAGGTTTGGGGTAAATCATCTCAATTTTGGTTAATCTTCAAGAATAATGTTTCTTCTTGCTGAAAGTGACTAGCCTTTGCCACCAGTATATAGCCAGGCCAGTCTACTCATCCCTGCAGTGTGACCAAACTATATTGTTAGCTGGCTCAATTACATTATTCATCTTGATATCCCCAGAGATCATTCCAAATTTAACGCTGGATAAGTCCATTCAAGAAACTCAGCAAGGTAAAGGTTAAATGAGCCGAGTCACGACAAAACCAACATAGTGCGTTTGCGACCAGCATGGTCTGGATCCATGCTGGTTGCAAACCCACTATGTTGGTTTTGTCGTGACACGGCTCAATATTTAATTGTGAATTTAAAAATAATTCTGACAAGTGGGAAAGGGCTTGTATACTCTGCCTCTTTCTTATGCAGGAAAACATTCACTTTAAAGGGGCAACATTCGCTGCCGCGGCAGCGAGTATTTGTGGGTGTGACTAATCAGAGATGTAAAACTGTCTGTTAAAAACCATGAGCTAAAAATAGCATGCAGTGTTAACCTGCAGAGAGAATGTAAACAAAAACAGCTGATTTTACACAGGAGAGGTTTAATGGATGTTTTATATAACTCACAGATTAATCAGATTAATTAAAAGACATTATCAAGCCATCTTGTCAAGCTATTATTTTTGAAGTCAGTTGTTTTTCTTTTTTTCACTGGAATGCTGTATGTTCTTGAAGGATCTCTTTTATATGGAATCTGTCTTTCTGATGTTTGAGGGCGATTCACATTTTCATTCCAGTCAAGGACAGCCAAGTTAATCCTGATTTTGTAGGCATCTAATCCAAAACATATTCTTTTGTCTCCATACTGTAATAATGCATTATTAAACGATTCTACGTAGTGAGTATCCATACAGTATCTATATTTTTCTGCATCTTTGTATACTGGCATTGATTTTAAAAAATTTGTAAGAATAGAAACAGCTTTTTCATCTTTGATGGTGTATTTGGAACATTCATAATTTGGGTCTGTTTTGCATCGAGAAGTTGGTAGACAATTGTCGTGACTGCCCTTGTAGTGGTCAACAAAGTTAAGTATGTTTTTTCGTAGAATTTCGGGATTATTTTGGCAGTTTTTCATTGAATGGAATGTGTGAGTTTTTAACGCAGCAGCCTTGTCAGACAGTTCCTCATGCCACACAACTCCATGTGTTGATTTGAAGCCTGTTGTTATTTTTCTTGCAGCTTTAGCTATGCCCTTGGTCATATGCCAAGTATCACTTGCATTCGTTGTTGGGCTTCTTTCTTCTCTGACATATTTAGTTATTTGGTTGTTGTTGTCATGTGCATGGATGTTTACTGGGCAGTCCTTCTCGTCAAGATAATCATATAAGCGTCGTACTCCTACAAGTTCATGCCGTTGAGAGCTGGGATCATCAGACTTGGTGACTGTCTCAACTTGAATGCACTTGTTTGTTGCTTTACCAAGACAGACAACATCAGTGAACTTTGCATTCTTGCGCCAACAATGGCGGGCATCAGTAACAATATTTATTCCTGTCAGTATTTCATCATCAGGCAAAAGTGCAGCGGTCATGGCAATTTCATCTTCAAGAGCATTGTTTTTAGATTCTAAGACTTCATTCTCTACAGCTCCTTTGTAAGTCTCATCATTTCAGAAATATATTTTTCCCCAAAATCTGCAATATCTGAAGCTTCACACAGTTTTTGAAATTGGTTAGGTAGTATACCGCTGGAAAAATAACCATGACAAAATTTGTAACTTGCTAAAAACTTTCCGTTTCCCATGTGTGGAGAGGACGTCCAGCTCAAGGCATGGGACTCCTTACATTTGATATTGGCAGTCATTACCCCATGCATTTTTTTGTTGTTTGATTTATCAAGACTTAATCTTTCCATACATTTTATATCATGGGCTTGTACTTGTGTTATAAGTTTTTGAACTAATGATAAACATCCTATAAAAATGTCTTGTGTTTTTGCATCTTCCAAGGTGCAGTATTGATATTCTGGCTCAAAGTCTAAACTTTCATTTGTCACATTATCTTCAACGGGTAAGTTCAGAGAAGTAAAAAAATCACAAAGCCTGTGGAGTAGCTCAAACGTCGATATTTTATTAAACTGTCCTCCACCAAGAAACAATTTTATTTTGTCAATTTTGTTAAACAATTCAGTTTTTTCTGACTCATCATTGTAATAGTACTCCAATTTGCCTCTTGATTTTCTATTTATTTGTCTATTTTCTTTATTTCTTGCACGTCTTTTTTCACCAGAATTTGATGGATAGGCTTTTGGCTCCTTACGTAAATCCAAGCGTATTCTTTTTATTCCATTATTATGATCTTCAACTTGTTGATTATGGTTATCATCCATGTTTATCACTATATTGTATACCTGACTTTACTAATGAATTCTTCACACAAATGAAAATGATATCAGCTTCACATTGTTTTAACTGTAAACTCTGCTGGGAAACATTTTAATCTGCCAACACCTAATTAAGATGCTGTCACACTGAAGTATAATTGTTCATTGTATGGCCTGCCATGTAGAATTAAAAATCACATATGATGCTTGTTTTGGAGGGAAATAGTGCAAATCTTTAAGCTGTTATAATCTGATTTTATATATTTCGTACAAATTTGAATTCTAAAAAATGGCACAGGATAATAAGAAAAAGAGATATGTGATTTATATGACAGAAGAACAGAAAGAAATTACTTGTGGAATATTCAATTTTCATGGGTGGGATATTGAAATATCAAGTGATGACGATACTGAAGCAACAAGTACCCAGTATCAAAATTTGAGCAGAACATCCACTGAGACTAAGTCAGTAAACTCAGATGTTTGCGAAAAAGAAATACCTGAAGAGAATGCAAACTTGTCAACGTATCAACAAGATGGATCATCTGAACTGGCTACCGGTAATACAGATGTTTGTCACCACTGTCTTAGTTCCCCCTGTGTGACTGCAAGTCCTCAGGCCTGGTTAGGAGATGGTCGCTTAGCAAGACCAGGAAATAACTTAATAAGAAAAAAACTTTATAGAAAATACTGGACTATGCTCGACAGAAGGGGACTTTGGAGCAATAGTGTATATTTAGAAAGAAAGGAGAGACTTATGCTTGCAGCACATGTTGAACTAACTGTAAGGGAAGTTATGCCTGACTGTGTCCTGCATCAAGTCAGACAACTATATCCAAATCCAAAGGATGTGCCGTACATGGGACATTTCTTTTAAGAAAAAACTGCTAAAAATGATCTTGACAGGAATTTTAAATATTTTTAAACTATTAATATATAAACATTTTATACAAAGGATAAACATTTGTGAAATGTAATTTTGACTGCAAGATATTTACAACAAAATATAGTGTAAATGAAATATACCTGGAAGTTACTTTTACTGTTTTCATGAAGTTTAAACCATTTAAATACAAGTTGAATCAGTACTTTGAAATTAAAAAAAAATCATAGATTAATGGATTATTGTAAATTTGTTGGATATAAATACTTTTTGATAAAGTAAGATCAGTAAAAGTTATTGTTTTTTCTTATCATGTATTCAGCATTCGAATGTGTCGTCTGCTGAAAATCTCCCTCCCTGAAATATATCGTCTGCTACAAATCTCTCTCACTGAAATAAACACTGCCACGTGCGTCTGTTTACTACTGAAGGTTCATGACCTGTAATGATCAGTTGGCTCCCAGGGAAATTCAAATTTCAAATTTGACAGCCAGTATTTTTTTCCAGAAACACACTTAACAAAGTTTTATTTTGAATAATTTTGGTCAATCTATATGAAGAATATCTATGCCTACATACATGCCAAGTGTTGTTTAAATGCATTTGGTAATTAATCTTAAATCTTTGAAAAAGGGTCCCTGAAGTGAAGCATGCATAAAATTAATAAGAAACCTGCCCTAGCGCCATCTGCTGGCTTTTATAGTCCAGTTGGGCCTTTAAGTAATATATTTTATTCTCCTGAAAATTCAAAAAAAATGTGCTAACTCACTCTGTGTAATATCCAGTTATTGTGTAAGTATTCCAGCCCTTTCAGTGTTTGTAGCATGTAGGTCTTGATGTGTGCCAACGTGAGTATTATTGTGTTATCTTTGATAATTACCTGAAATATCACACTTTATCTATACAATATATATAATGATATAATATTATGTTCTTTATACAATATTTTTTATACAAAGTTCTATCTTCTATCATAGTCTTTTAACCTTGTTTTTTCTTTTACAGTAAGCACTATATTCCAGTTATATACCATGCTCTTTATGCCAGCCCTGTTCTTTATAGGTAAGTTGAAACATAATCTGCTGGTACATGTATACATTAATCACATTTAAGACTGTTTCCTTCCATAACCAGTATTGAATGAATTATATAAAATTCAGATAAAATTATAAAATACTTATATCATTACATGTATTTACCTTTTTTCTGTGTATTTTTTTTTCAATTTATATATTTATTTTTATTACATATACTTACCTCTAAATCAGTGTCCATGAAATCAAATACAAGACTAACATTAGACTTCTGGCCGAACACATCCATCAACTGAAAGTAGAAATGACTCTACCATAAATTTAACATTCAAGATTTGTCATGAATTTCAAATTATAAATAAAGTGTTAATTGACTAACATATTAAAATACCAGATAAGATCATTTAGAATCATCACATTATATATCAGGGGTGGCAACTTATATGCATGAATATTTCCTGGAGAAAATTTCATTGTGTATCATCTATTGATATAATAAATGATAGGTAAATAAAGAATTTCAGGGACAGTATTGAATCAGTTCAAAATACAATAACAAACATGTTTAATTTGATTAATTCTCTTTAGTTACAAGGACATATCCCTTTGTAGTAATGGCCACTAACTCCAATAGTTGTAATCAGGAACTCTGCAAATGTTGATTTTTCCATGGTTATTCCCCGGTACAAACAAACTTTTACTATGCACTACCGGTCACATTATATTAGTCAACCTGTTGCACTTTTTTTTCGAGGCTGTAACTGTAAAAGTTTTTTGTACCCCCGGATTAGCTGGAAAAACCCAAAATATCTTTTTTTCCACAGTAAGTCTATTAAGCTTGACTTCACTCACACCATGTGGCAATTAAGTTTACAGTTAGATTTAGGTTTATAGCTTTCAAACATTCAAAATTCCAGGTGAGATCTGTACCTACAACAAGTAGGTGTAAGTAATGTAAAGGTTGATTGGATGTCATTCACTACCTATTGTCAAATTTGTATGACAAAGGGCAAGGCCAGGTATTAATGATCATTAAATAATGTTAACTTACACCAATAATATTAGGATGGTTTAGTTCCTGTAGAAGTTTGATTTCTCTCAGGGCAGTTCTGTTGATACCATCAGCTGCTTCCTGTCGTGTACCAAGTTTAATCTAAATATAAAAATAATACTGACAGGATCATACAATATTGACTAATTATAACATGTAATATTTCTTACTATTAGTTTACAGAAATTTTTTACTCTTTACAAATAAATGAAAGAAAAAGTGGAATTATCATTTTTCAAAAGAGTCAATTTTGAAATTTTACCTGGTATTAAATGTTCATACTATTTTTAGGTTTTAGTTTCAAGTACCAAACATGAATTATACCCTGACAACAAAACATGTTTCTGATATCTCATCTTTATTTTCTTTATATCTCCGGTTTTTAGGCTTTAATTATCAAAAAGAAAGTCAGTCATGAAACTTTAAATCTCATTATTAGTTTTCTATATGACTTAATAAACATGTATATCTTGCTTTGGATTTTTTTTAACAAGTGACTAGTCAATTCAATATGTGTACCATGACCACCTGTTTATATAATACAAATAAATGTGAAAATATTTCGTCTTACATTTTTGTTTTTACCCATGCTGATATTATTAATTTAAAATTTCAGACTTTTTATTTTAACTAAGGGATTCATTGCTGTGTATTTATATAAAGTTTATACTGATTTAATTATAAAGCATTTTTTACATAATTGTTATGTTGACCCTTTCTATTTAAATTCTAACTTATTGGCTTGTCTTAAGTAATAAAATTTGAATTGGACTCTATACACCAGTTTCACAACACTTTTTTTTATATACAAAACAAGTAAACATTAACATAAGGCATTTATAGTATTATTCATGGTAAGGATTAATGAATTAAAACGTCATGTGTGTTTATAACACATTTAAAAAATATATAATATATATTAAATTATGAACAGTTAATATATGTCATAGCTATCAGTTTGCTATATATCACACCTCATTTCCATATGTCAGTTATCATTCACGCCAATATGCCATCACATTTCAAGATTTTATGCTAACGACAGAACTATACACAACGCAAATAATAAATTTTATTTGAATCATATCATAATATTTGAATTCCTTGAGTTTTTATCTTAAAAATTGAAATAACTTGGTAGAGGGTCATAAAGTAATGTTCTATGCTCAAATCTCAGGTAAACAAATTGTTAAATGTACTCCAATGTATCCCAATATTTTAGACAGAGCTCAGAAAATATTTTATAACCTTCAAGCCCCTCAGAAAGTATGAAGAACTTACTTTTTTGACAGCCACTATCTTGTCAGTCATAACATCTCTGGCTTTATACACAGTGGCAAACTGAAATGGAATATTAAAATTGATATATAAAATAATTGATTACTCTCCCTCTGCATTCATAAAAACTACATGGAAGTATTGATACAGTGCTGCGCATGACCCTTTTTTCACCACAATGAAGCATCAAAGCTATTTGTAACTCTCCCATATAGGTTTATGAAAAATATTTTTATACAAATTTACATACAGTGCACATTATAATGTCAAACCCTCACATGCAAGATGACTTGCAATTAGGCCATCAGTAAACAGGAAAGGTCCAGGAGGTCACGTCAACGTCATAACAATTCATTATCAATATATTGCCCCCCCCCAAAGTCCAATGTTTGCTGTGATATTTCAATATTTTTATCAATAAATTAATAAGACACCCCCCATATTGACCCAAAACATATTTTCCTCATTTGATCTTAAAAAAAATGCTAAAAAGGGCATATTTTGTATAAATTTGGTATGTTCATTGATTAGGGTCATAATAATTACTCAGATAATGGAATACTAGAGAATATGTTCTTGACAATACAATTTGACAAAGAGTTACCCATCATAAACTATAACAAGCCCGTAATGTCTGATATATTGAACTACTCTTGAATAGAAAGAAACATTTCCCTTCATAAGATAGGTTATCAACTTATTGCTTTTATACAACATTAGTTATGATTTTATGTCAAGCTTTAGTCTAAACAAAAGCCATTTTTATGTCAGTGTTATTAATAATTTATCTTGAACTGTTTTAGCGGGCTTAGAATATTTCAAGCTGGTTGTTTGCTCACCATTAAAAAGTGTATGGGTAAGGATTTCTTGTTTGTCGTATGCAGTGCACCTGGTTTTCACGATTGCATACTAACGATATTGGTTCAATTTCCAGCGGTAGTTATGACAAACTATTTTTAATAATCATAACAAGTAAATAACTCAGAATTTTTATCAGCTCAGTAAAAGATTCCTTTATTTCTGATAGATCTTTTATTCCACCTAATTGTACTAGGCGATGAGATATTGTGCTATTTTTGTGTATGGCAATATCTCCCCTCTAAGATTAAGAAGTTCGATTCTGACCCTGGCAGAACAAACATATTGCAGAATCTAGCTTTGGCACATCAATATATTTTGACTAGCAGATATCTTGTCAATATATAAAAGCCAAAAATCATATTTAAATTTTTTTTGAAAAAAATATGTATGTTCACTCTTTGTGAAACTGTAATAAGACGTTCAGCATTGCATTTATTTATTATTGAAAAAATGCTGTACGACAAGAGTACAAAGTGTTTGTATGCTATAGGCAAGACATATGCGACTCACATATGGGCTGGCTATAACTTTTGGCTGGCAATACAGGCCTATGCGGCTAGCCACTTCTATTTTTGCCAGGGAACAAATTCAACAATAATCAATATCATATAATAAATTCAAATGGGCCTTACTTATGTTTAAAAGGCAGTCTCCTTTATGAATTTCTGTTAATGAATTAATCTCAGAAAGCTATTAGCTTTTGCTGTTGTGTAATGTGAAAATACTTCCATAAATATTTTAATTGTGTGCAATTTTGTCAACAAACAAGTTGCATTTGTCAATTTGCACTTCAAATAGGAAATAAAAATTGCTATGGCTTTCAATAAAATCAATTCATCTTACCTGTCCTTCGCCAAGAAATTGTATTTTCTCATAGCGTTTCAATTTTTCCTCCATTTTTACGTCGAAAATGCAAATTTACTAACTTTTTTAGAATAAAAAGATTTGCCAGTGCATGATTTTTGGTATCGAAGTGATACAAACGCTTTGAAAGGTAACTTCCAAGCGTCTATAGAAAATGCATTTCTTTTGCTTGCTATAAAAAATGTAATCAGAGGGTTCACACCACCAAATATTTTTTTTAAAAATTGAAGGAAGTTATCTTATATTCTAATTAAAAAAATTATCACCTTATAAGACTTACTTTAAAGTGAAAAGTGAAGTAAAAAGGTCATGTTATTGTTGCCGCAATAGTATAAAAAAGCGCAAGGAGTCGAAAGAATAACTTTTATTTCCTGTTTCCAGCAATGATTTTGATCTTCGTACAAAAAGTTTTAAGTAGTTTCCGTTCATTCCTCTAAAACAGTTTAAGAATGTCATTTTTCTCAGTCATGAAGGTTAACATAACTTGTTCGAAGACCATTAACCCTTTACCTCATATAGACGTGTTTTGACGGGATGTGCCCCCTTCTGTTTCGGGGTTTGAAGGGGGGCCTCATCGCCAAGAAAATTTTTGACATGTGACAGGCTAAAAATGGCCTCAGGTCGATCGTAAGGTAACGTGTAACCAACGCTGAAAAGCCTTTTACTCTATCTCAATCCATTGAGAAGTTGCAGCACTTTCAGTTTTGATGGAAAAAAGGGGAAAAAACAATGCAAAATAGTGATTTTTGGCAATTTTGAGACGTCCCCGTTGCCATGGTAACAGGAATTTAAGATTGAGCATGCTAGTTACAGTCAACATTTGTGCCAAGTTTCATCTGTATTGAAGCATTTTTTATAGTTTCATAGCAGTTTGAACTTGTAACAGGAGGCTTTTCAATGAAAACGGCCATTTTCCACAATATGCTGGTTGACGAGACCATGGAAAGAAAACGACAATGCAATTGTCAAGTAAAAGTCAAGCCAAAATAAGTGAATTCATAGATACAAAAGCAAACAATACATTATTTATATATTTATTATTATGGTTGTAGAAACCGAAAGTACAAAATGCAAACCTGTTGACATTAATTAAGTCGGATTTGTTATCACTGGGCATTTTTTTAATTAAAATGTGTTGTAAGACACATTTTCAATCATAATTGTTTCGAAACATACCTTTTTCCTTTGGATGGCAAATATACTCAACCAAAAACGAAACCTGACACTTTTAATGTTGCAATATCTTTTTAACATGGGCATCTAATAAAAACATATTTATCTCATATCCGTAGATTTTCGATACACAATACTCTAGCTAGCTTGATACTAACCGAAATTGGGTAATCTTTAAATAGCCCCTTTCGCACGTGACGCCCGTGCTAAATGAATGGAACGCAATAGAATGTGAACAAAAGCGCTATACATTCACCAAGTGATTACACAGTTTAAATCATCATTGACATTTGATGGTACCAAATGCCACGTTTATCAGAGGCCGAAAGAAATCAGGCTATCGGTATGCTTCAAGCTGGCGTATCTGCCGTTGACGTTAGCAGGACATGTAACTGCGGTCGAAACACAGTGCATGAGCTTGTCAGGCGCTTTAGGCTAACAGGTGATGTGCATGAATGTCCTAGGTCAGGTAGACCAAGAGCAACTAGCCAACGGGACGATCGGTACATCGTTTTAACGCACTTACGTCACAGATTCCAACCTGCGACGATGACGGAACCAGTGCACCGTACCGTATAATGTGTGCTCACAAACAATCAGAAATCGGCTGCGTGAACAAAATCGCCCGATTAGAGCGCGGCGTCCATACACAGACAGTATTTTGACATTACGTACGTCATCGGCAGGTACGTTTACGCTGGGCGCGTTTACATCGTCGTTAGCGTAGACGAGACTGGATTTCAGATGAATCCAAATTAGTAACGCTGATGGTCGTCAACGTGTCTATCGTAGACAGGATGAAAGATTTACTATTGCTTGTGTCAGAGAACATGATCGTTTCGAGGGCGGGGGAGTTATGGTTTGGGGTGATACATGTATTATATAGGGGGACAAAAGACAAGACTCTTAGTCATTGAGGCAACTTAAATGCCCAAAAGGTATATAAATGAAGTTTTGAAGGCAGAAGCCATTCCTTGCATGCATAGGAATGCTCAAGTTGTGTTTCAGCAGGACAATGCACGCCCGCATGTTGCAAGGATGTCGCAAGCTCGCCTTGCAGCGGCTAACGTAAACATCATGCATTTGCCGGTAAATTCTCCGGACATGAATCCAGTGAAGCACATTTAGGATGAACTGGGGAGACGTGTCGGTCGTCGTCATGCACCTCGCACTGTAAACGAACTATAAAATGCCTGGTCAGGGAGTGGAACAACCTCCCTAATCAGCTGGTACAACAATACGTAAACTCGATGAGAAGACGTATTGAAGCACTCATTAGGGCCAGAGGTGGTCATAACAGATACTAGGGTTCAGTAGGACTTCGATTATTATACAAACTCGCAAGAAAATTCAAGTTATCACCACTGAAAAGCAACCTAATGGCAAAAGCTTTAATATGCCAGAATCAGTTTTGACCCCTACCTTACATTCACACTGTTGTACAGCGTCCACCGGATATAGCCCCTTAAAACACCGAAAACGAAAGTAGAAAGCTGCACACCGAGTACACCTAAGGTAATGTTTGAACTTATTTCTTCATCATAACTTCATCGATTTTCCCAAACTAAACAATTTTGTGAAGCTAAATGGTTCTTGTTTAAGAGCAATATTTGCTGTTTTCTGCAAATTGAATACTTTGTGTTAACTTGGCGATAAAGTGTAGCGTATTTGTTGATATGTGCGAACAATGTTGATATTTACCACTAAATCAAGCCCAAAACGCATTTGCTGTATCAAATTTCTCCATTTAACACAAACTATTGTCCTCCCTCTACTTAGATTTGAGTTAACACCCTTCAACTCGAGCTGCTTTTAACAAAATTTGCAAAAAACGGCCTTGCCTTGTGTACAGAGTCTAGCAAAGAAAACAATTTTAAGTGAACGGGGTGTAGAAGTTTAATGTACAGGGTTTAGTAGATGTGTACGGTGTCTAGCAGTCAAATATTTTTAAAGTATAGTCTTTTATATAATTTTTAATTGGAAATAATCTCATTTCAGACTAAACATGGGTAGATTAGAGGACGACACAGAGGTATTTGGTAAATAATGTAACTTTTTAGTGTTTTTGAGCAGTATAGCTGCGTTTAATTTTTATTGTCATGCCATCAGCTGAATAGTGTCTGTCGGTATTTTTAGACATGTTGAGGAGTCTTCTGACAAACTCGCTGAATGGAAATGGTCCGAATGGGGATTTATATATATACATGTATAACTAGCCTACACATAAGACATGAGGTTGATAATTGACCAGACAATTAAAAGATTATGCACGAGTGTCATTTTCTACAAAACGGCATTAGCACTGTCTTCTATAAAACAGTTTAAGCCGCCTTATATAAGCTATTAATCGACTCAAAAGATACCGGTAATAATATGCCGAATAGACTCTTTAAATGTTTCATATCACTCTGCACACTCTGAACATTGGTATGGCATTGTTGAACTGAAAACATAAAATACCATTATTATCATCATCGTCATCATCATTGAATAGTCATCATTATCAATATAATTTTTAGAAAAAGCAGCAACATAAGCGGCAGCATTGTATTTATTAAACAATATCGAAATCACAAGTGAGGTCACCTGAGTTTGACTGCAAAAAGATATGAAAGACTTTATAGCCACAATGATTATCCTAACTAATCAAGGCGGATATTTTACCAAAGCTCATTAACATATGTTTGTTTTTCAATGAAGTCTTAAGACCAGTGAAATAATAACCCACTATAACAAGATAACCCAAACATTGTTTGAAATTGTTTAAGACAAATTTTTAGAATTTGCTGTACATAATGTTCTACCACTATGGAATGAAATTGTGGTCTTTCGAGTTTTACGATTTCCCTCTTAACTTTTAGTCACGAATAAAAAGTGGAATAGCAGGACGGAAACTGTTTACTGCAATTAACATACATGTTGTGTAACATGTTTACAATTTAAACATTTTCATCTTTTATAAAATTAATATCATTCACTTCACAATCCCTGCTCCCGACATTAATCGTTATTTCTTCATCAGCGTACGTGTATATGCTCTGGTACTGAATTTATTTTGCAGAAAGTGACATTCGTTTTCCCACTACACCCCGTACAATCGCTAACAGATTTCCATCTACACCCCGTACGGTATGCCTAAAATACGAAAGTGAGATTTTTGACGAAAGTGAGCGAAAGTGAGCGAAAGTGACTTTTAAAATAGTAATTATAACATTTTAATAGACTTTTAAAACAAACATGCAGTTTGTAGACGTATATTATTAGAAAATAATTATATTTATTAACAGAAATAATCATAATGATGATTTAATCGCTACTAATTTGCATAATTTCTATACACAAGTTCTTATATCTTCCTTTCGCTCACATTGAAAAATACGAAAGTGACTTAAAAAATATTAAATATTCTGTTTTAATTGAAATTTTTACTAAAATTACAATTTGTAGATGTATATTATCAGAACTTGATGATACTTATTTTTTTAAATAATCATTATGATGATTTAATCGCTATTTATTTGCATTATTTTTATACACAAGTTCAGATATCTTCCTTCGCTCAGATTGAAAAAATACGAAAGTGACTTCAAAATATCAAATATAGCGATTAATTTAAATCTATATTAATATAACAGATTGTAGACGTATAGTTTTGGAATTTGATAATATCTATTTTTCAAAATAATCATTATGATGATTTAATCGCCATTTATTTGCATAATTTCTATACACAAGTTCAGAAATCTTCCTTTCGCTCACATTGAAAAATACTAAAGTGACATATAAAATTTTAAATATACTGGTTAAGTTGATTTTTTTTACTAAAATTGCTCTAAGTAGACGTATATTATCAGAAATTGATAATATTCATTTTCTAAAATAATCATTATACAAGTGACTTATAAAACATTCAATATACCGTTTATTTTGAATTTATATCAATATAACAGTTTGTAGACGCATAGTTTCAGAAATGAATAAAAAATACTTAAAAATCATTATGAGGTTTTAATATTCATGCATTTTCATTATTTCTATATAGCAATTTCAGAGATCTTACTTTCGCTCACTTTCGTATTTTCAATATTAGGGAGAGGAAGCGAAAGTGATTTTAAAAATATCAAATATAGTGTTTAAATTGCATTTAATATTAATAATGCAGTTTGTAGACGTATATTATCAAAACAAGTATCTTTAATCAATATGATTTATTGATCTTCATTTATAAGCATAATATTTCTACACAAGCTCAGACATTGATCTTCCTTTCGCTTACCGTGAGCCTGACGAAAGTGACTTACGGAATATCTAATATAGCGTTGAAATAGAATTTCATGATAATATTGCAGTTTGTAGACGTATGTTTTAAGCCATTGTAACTATCATTTTTATAAAACTTAATATGTTAAGATGAAAAATGAAATTTATTATGTAAACTATAATTGGCAAAAACATGAATTATACAATTTATGCGTTAGGGCTCCGATTTACAGTTCTCAATTTCTTACATCGTCTTTTTCGGGCAGTTTTTAATTTTTGATTAACGATGGTGTTACCAAACATTTAATATTCTGTTTATATATTATATTGTAATTATACTGTTTGATTTCAATCTAACAGTAATAGGTCTTGGATGTGTTTCTCATTATTATAATGTCTCTTGAAATTCTTAAATGGAATGGTCTTATGTAGGTTTTATGTGAATAGTTGTATATATGTTTAAAAATGCATGTATACGAATGAGACAAAATAAAGTATGAATATGTTTACGTGCAAACACGTGTTGTCATATCATTTTCGCATCCACTTTAATTGATAGTAATCACGACGGTGACCGCATGACGCTTTAATCCCACTAAAGTATTATTATAATCCAATCATAGGTATGTAACTGATGACACTTGCCCGGTTGTTTATTGAGTGGACAATTGAATTAACCTTTCTTCTGCACCACCATAGATATCTTGCACGGATTAAAGTGGCAGTTATTATGCTCATCCAGGTGTAGATGAGCAATGTACATGTTAATTTGAAAAATAATTTGGAATTTCCCATCATTGTTAAAATAATATTTCACTATGAAAAAAGGAAATAAGTAATCCACGGAAATTTCTATAAATATCGTACTATATATATCGGTAAAGTTCAATCTTTTTATAAGTTAGGATTTTTTTTTATATTTTGTGCTGGTCATTTTCATCATCAGTTATAGGTCAATCACCATGAAAACATGAATACTAATGTAATGACTCATTTATTTTTTTATTATAAAAACAGTAATATCGTGAATATTGACATTGGCTTTCGTCCGATTAAGTCACTTTCGTATTGTTCAATGTGGGCAAAAGTAAGATATCAGAACAGGTATACAGCAATTATGAAAATACATGGATATTAAATCATCATAATGATTTTTTTAAATATATTTTATTCATTTCTGAAAACATGCATCTTTCAGCGCTATAGTTGACATTTTTGAAGTCACTTTCGTATTTTTCAATGTGAGGGAAAGGAAGATCTTTTAACTTGTGTAATGCAAATAAAGGGCGGCTAAATCATCATAATGATTATTTTTAAAAATAAATATAATTGACTTCTGATATTGTACGTCTACAAATTAATTGCAATTTTAGTAATAAATTCAATTTAAACAGTATATTTGATATTTTGTAAGCCACTTTCGTAGTTTTCAATGTGAGCGAAAGGAAGATCTCTGTATATAACTTGTGTATAGAGATTATCCAAAATAAATGGCGATTTAATCATCATAATGATTATCTTTGAAAGTAAATATCATCATTTTCTGATATTATACGTCCACTTTGTGCAATATTAGTAAAAATAATTTTAATTTAAACGGTATATTTTATAAGTCACTTTCGTATTTTTCAATGTTTACAAGCGAAAGGAAGATATAAGAATTTGTGTAAATAAATTATGCAAATAAAAACCGAATAAATCATCATTATGATTATTTTTTTTATAATAAATATAAGTAATTTCTAATAATATACGTCTACAAACTGCAATTTTATTGTAAAAGTCTATTAAAAGGTTACAATTAATATTTTAAAAGTCACTTTCGCTCACTTTCGCTCACTTTCGTCAAAAATCTCACTTTCGTATTTTAGGCAAACCCCACCCCGTACACATCCGTACTAGACTCTGTACACAAGGCAAGGTCGTTTTTCGCAAATTTTATTGAAAACAGCCCAAGTTGAAGGGTGAAAACTTAAATATAAGTAGAGGGATGGATATAGTTTGTATTAACGGCGGAATTCGATACAGCAAATGCGTTTTGGGCTGGTTTTAGTGGTAAATATCAACATCGTTCGCAAATGTCAACAAATATGCTACAATTCATCACCAATTTAACAAAAAGTATTCAATTTGCAGACAAAAGCAAATATTGCGCTAAAACAAGAACCATTTAGCTTCACAAAATTGTTTAGTTTGGAAAAATCAATGAAGTTATGATGAAGAAATAAGTTAAAATATTATCTTTGGTGTACTCAGTGTGAAGCTTTCTACTTTCGTTTTCGTTGCTTTTAGGGGCTATATCCGGTGGACGCTGTACAACAGTGATTCAACGTCATTTAACACCTGTTTCTGTTTACATCTGAAACCACGTGGTAGAACTTTCAATCCGTATTGTTTTCGAGGTTATTGTAGATAATAGCCGAGGTCGTTCCGATTGTTATATACGGTAAAGCAAACATCGAATGTTGTGAAGAAATGTGTTTCTGTGTTCGGTACCAACTTCCGTTTTTGAAAAAGATAGATTCCAGTATATTTGAATGAGTTTACAATATCTAATTTTTGTTCATTTAAATAAGTCAAATGAAGTGTGTCTACCCTGTTCGAAAACCAAAGTCTTTGTTTTTATTGTATTTACTTTAAGATTCTATATGTGTTACAGTATGTACATGGGTAGACAGACGTTTCACTATTGAGTTTCAATGCCTTCATTGATCAATGATCACTCTGAAATTTGTATCTTTTCAAAGTCAGCTGACACTGACATCAAAAAAGAAAAAATATATTTGTGTAAATTATAATACCAATGTTAATATGTTTACATAAATAAAAGTTTTCTTTGCATGACTGCTATTGCTATACTGTATATTTTAAGTTACCTTAATATACTTACAACACATGTGTAACATTGCATTAAGCATACTTGTAAATACATATCAATTTGTTAGAAAATAAGTTGTTATTTATTATCTAGTCATCACTAAATAAACATGTACATGTATTAAGGGAGAATGTTGTATAAAATTGCTCAAAAATGAAAATTAAACAATGAAGAATTGTATTAACACGAGTATTGTGTGTGTGTGTGTGTTGTGTTGTGTTGTGTTCCTAAAAAACATTACATAAAAAAACAAAAGTAATATTTCATATTTAAAACATTGTTTAACTTTAATGCTTTCTATAGTTGTCTCTGCTTCTAGATCTGTAATGTCTATCTTTAGAGTGATATGTTCTGTCTTTTGAACTTTGACTTCTATCTGGAGATCTTGATCGTCTTCTTCTATCTCTATGTTTATTTCTATCATAATCTCTCCCTTTAACATCATCTGATGCTGTGTAACGGTCATTTCTATGATTTGATCTATCACTTCTCTCTACTAAACTTAATCTCTCTCTAAATGAATCACCTTCAGGTTTTATTGCTGTATTAATGTTGAAAGGTTTTTTAAATGGTCTATTTTTACCACCAAATCTTAATTGACCAGATTCTTTCTTTCCACCAATCCCCCCTCCAAGTCTTCTCGGTATCCAGCCTTTTAAACTCCTCTCACATTCAAAATCAACATAAATTTCTCTTTCATCTAAAATAGTTTTGTCCGCATCTCTCTGTGCTTTATATGCGCAATCTTCATCAAAATACTCTATGAAAGCATAGCATCTGGAAAACCCAGTAACAATATCTCGTACAAGTCGGAGTCTTTTTATTTCACCATAATCACTAAACACATATCCAAGAGAGTCCTCATCTGTATTTGGACTAAGTCTCCCTACAAATATTGTATGCTCAGGTTGACCAACAACACCCTTGTTAGGTTTATACTTGGAGTTCATGGCTCGTATAACACCCCTGTCATGGGCTATATCATCTGTACCATCTATGCTGCCAGCCTTTAATGGGTCATAGCTTAATGGTACTGGTTTCCAATCCATATTCTGTTCTGAAAGCAATAGATAAAGAGGATATTAATGTATCTTTACAACCAATGTTTGTTATTTATATTGGTTTATAAATTCCAAATCAATTACAGGTCAATTCCAGAGCATTGGTTGAGTTAATTACACTGTCTTCATGTATATATATATAATTATATAATATGTATATATATATAGTTACATGTATATAATTATAATATATATAATTTTCTCAAATCCACAGGACTAACACTTGATCTGTCCCAAAATGCCAGTAAAAAGAGAGAGTTTCAGCTTTAATATTTTACAAAATCCTGATTGCAATTCATGTACATTTAGATATAGTGTAATTTTGTATTGAAAACATGGATGAAGTAATTAATAAATATTGTTTATTTGTTTTAACCAAAATGTAGCTACATTCATGAACAGAAAGGCAAGACTTTTAAATGATTGCATGCAAAACCCTATCGTATTCAGATATTTTTCATGAGGGAAATATTTAGGAAATCCATTTGAGGATTTCAGGTCTACCAGCTACCTAAAATTATTACCTTAAAAGCATTAGAATAACTATAATATTTGTGGGGATACATGTAGTACATGAACTTGCATGCAAAATTAACCCTTTCATGGGACTAAAATTGTGCTTTTATATTACAGGGATCGGACACTCCCAGTTAACGCTAAATAAATCATTAAATGCTTGTGTTTGAAATGAGGAGAAGCTGATTCCTGTAAATTCTGGAAAGAGTGTGTTATCCAAGAGTATTTGAATGATTCTGGTTATCCTTAAGTGTTAAACTGTTCAATATTTCTCCCTACAGCACCATAATTAGCTTTTGTCAATTTTTAAAGAATATTGACAAGACAAAATGTGAACTGAATTGAATAACTGGGTAAAGAGTCAACTCGGCCCTATACCAACTCGGCACGGGTCAAATTGGCACAGGTCAACTCGACCCACTTTTGAAAAAACAACATATTAAACATGTCAACTTATAACTCTGAGTACTAGCATGATATCAAGTCAAGCTGTTTTAAATGAAAAAAGAGATATCTGGTATATTATTATATAATTGTATTTTGCACTTCTGCAGAATAATGTATATTCACGGATAAATCTGTGGTATATTTAAAAGAAATTTGTAACGTTTATTCTTGCAGATTCGTTAAAAATTAATATAACACCAATGGCAATGTTGTCCCTTTGATGCTTTTTGTTTGCAAAGTAATCTTCAATCAAGTATGAAATAAAAACTTGTTTACTTACAATACTATATAAAATATTTCTAAATGCTTGTTCTTTATCAACATGTACATTTGCAATACATTAATTAACATGCAATGTATATTGCAATGTCCCAAGGATGGATTGTAATAAGTTTTCATTTGTGACATTACCCAAATCATTTAAAACTCTTTCATTACCAAAACTGTAATAATAATTTAAGAAAACATTTTCCACGTTTGTGAATAAGTCCAGATATTAATTATGTGGTTCCAACAATAAAGAGTGAAAAAAAAACCAATATACTAACAAATTGAAAAGTGGGCCGAGTTGACCCGTGTCGAGTTTGAATAGGGCCGAGCTGACTCGGGGGCCGAGTACGTTTTAGGGTCGAGCTGACCCTGATTCGAATAACTGTGGTATTGTAAATGGATTATGAGACCCGGGACAAAATAAAACGAGACGCAAACAAAACCTTACCGAAATGATATGGCGATGTTGAAGTGAGATGGATGTCCCTTGCCAGGAAAAAAGGGAAACGTCAACAAAAATCCAATTTTTTTACTGACTCAACATTGGTGAACAAATGATAAAGGGAAGTAACTCTGCAAACTTTAGTCATTGTATATTGTACCTACTAAGGTATAACAATCCTAAATTGGTCAATATTGGCATCAATTATTGCTGAGTTTAATCACGGATTTATATTACTTTTATAAATTATTATTATTAGATCATTGGTTTAATCAAATAAGCGTGAAAGCTTATAGGCACTTGGTTTCGGGATATTTTAACCATTTTGAGAGGTTTGTAAAACTCAAATTTGATTGAAAGTAACTAAAAAAACATCGGAAAAAATGACGGTTGTAGCTAGTTCTATCGAGACATCTACGTTAAAAAGTCGTTACTTCAATAAAATTTGAGTGCTAAAATCTCTCAAAAGGGTTTTTAAATACATATATGGCACAAAATCACAATTATTTTTCACCACACATGAAAAGGGATACACGTACATATCACGGATTTATATTATATAGATTTGTATAAATCAGTGACATATCTATTTAAATATCCCGAAACCAAGTGCCTATGTTAAAGATTTGACTCATTTTACAAGCTGTTTTTTTAACTCAAAGGCATACAACCCGTGATCATAAATCCGTGCAATGATTCAGCAAATTTCAACACATGCCCATTTACTAATTTGGATCTGATATAATAGATCCATGTGTTTTTGTCATGTACTTTAACTCAACGTACACTTATAATTATTGCACTTAATAATAGCAGCCACATTTTTTTCTGTATTTAATTGTTATTCATTCATTTCTTATTGAAATATTTGACTTAGAATTTATAGAAAACACGTTTCTCATTACCTCCCTTTATTTACATGAAATATTAAATTCGGTAATATCTTTATAAATACTGCTTTTTGAAACTTACAATATTGATAAATCTTAATTTGAGCATAATATTTTATTATACAAAACCATGCATAAAAGAAATGTGTTACAGGATCTATATGTTGAAGGCTAAAGACACGAGTTGCAAGTTGTCCTACACCTGTTCGCAATAAGACAAATTGTTATAAGAGAATATACTTTAAAAGTTTGAACCTGTCTCAAACATAGTGATGAAGAAATGGATTCCATACCCAGTCACAATTAACTTGCTCGAAAACGAAAGTGACAAGTTGGTGGCCAATGAATTTCATTTTATATAGCTATAAAAAGTATATATACTTTTTTTTCCACGCAAAATGTACGTACTTATACATGTAGGCATAGGATATGTTTAGATACAGCTTGAAAATGTTTCTGACATAAAGTGAACATGAATTCTCATTCCATGCCAAGTCACAGCTTGCACAAAAACGAAAGAAGCAACTTGTCTGTATATGATGAGGTACATTTTACAATGCTACATGATTAACAAATAAAGCATACTTTTTGAGTTCATGTGTACATTTTGAAAGTAAGCTTAAGAATTATTGCCCACTGTAAAGTTTGTTTATTATTAATGTAAATGCTTCTCTAGATATGTACATGTACTTAAAATTCTTGTGATACGCTTACATTATGTAGTAATAACTCACGTACAGGTTTTTGCATATTTGACAGTATTGTTTTTCATTGTCGACGTCGTTATATAAAAAAACACATTTCAACAAAGTACGTATATCATTCTGTATACATAATAAGAAAATATACAGTTTATGATGTGGGTATATCTTTAAGTGCTTCTCAAGTCTTCAGGAGACGCACAGTGCACATGAACGGTTCCATACATGCTTCTTCGTTGTAAACGTAGTACTGTTTATATTCAAATGACGTTGATTCTTTATACAGGTTTTTCATTGGAAACGGTTGATAATTATCTTCTACAGAAAGATAAGATAGATAAGATTTTTTCATTTTTGTTTTACGCCCCCCCCCCCAACCTTTTTTTTGCATGGTCGTCACCCTTTTCACTTTCAGGATTTTAAAGTGCGTTTTTCTTTGTACCACAACCATTCCAGTCCATTCATAAACAAGTTCATGGGTTCCAGGGATGATACCGGTATTATCAAGAGATAATGGAACATTTAAACAGGAACAAACTACCTATCAGTTATCAAACTTGACAGTCACCTGTTGCTTTGCGATATTGCACTGAAATTTCAAGGTAATATCAACTGGTTCAATTTAAGAAACACAATGAAGGGTCAAACAAACCTTTTTTGTGTGTTATCCTTGGCATATAATGTAGATTGACATGGCTTTGTTTTTCATTCATACATGTTTGTCAACAGTTGTGTGTACGTTTTAAAATACAACAACGTATGTCATTGCCATGTAGATGTACATGGGACTCGACGGCACAGTATTTTTTTATGTTGGGTGGGGATATAATAAACCCCAGGATGGGTTTAATTTGACTCCTAAGGGCAAAATTTATGTAACTTTGTAAAGGATCACAAGGTACTGTTCTGTCTCTGGGTTTTGTAGTTTCTGTGAAAGGAAATTTTTTTAAAAGTATACTTTTAGCGCGTGTGGCATACTTACATGTACACATATACATCAGACTGGAACCATTTATAAATTTTTTGTAGGGGGGGGGGGGCACCTAAGGATCATTCCTGTGAAGTTTGGTCAAAATCTACCAGTATGTAGTTTAGAAGAACATGTAGATGTTGTTTAAATAAGTTGTGCATAACAACAAGACATCAAGGCAAAACTGCCACACAAAAGCTCAGGAAAAGCTAAGGTAGCTGATAAAAAAACAACACAAAGCAAATACCAACAAATAATCTATTGCTTTATCAAACCAAGGTAAATTTCAGATCATTTGGTCAATATTTGTTACACTTAAAAACACTGCAAACATATAATAACAAATGTACATAAAACATAACCATACATTAAAAACAATTCATAAAATGATACATGTAGTTAAAATTGTATCTATAAGATCTAATTCCACATTAAAAACAAAATCTAGATCTGCATAAAATTAATTACTAATAAGTATTTTGTCCCTTCACTTGTATATAACATCACAATACCAAATTACAAGTTATTTGACTAATTATTTTTCACAGCACCAACATACTGGAGGATTATACAAATTCATACAAGGTCTTTCAATAGTGAAATACCCTAATCATATAAACAGATATCCAGTTACTCAATAGCACTTTGAATTACAGTTGTGTCATCTTTGAAGTTAATATGAAGCACCAGTATCATATGATTTCAGACTAGATTCCTTTATCTGTAAACAACTTTTATGTCTTATACTAATGTCATATATAAAATATTTTGTGTCATTGGTAATATATTATTGTTGAATATTTCATTGTATGCAATGATTTAGATTAACATTTTTATTTCAGATTTATTGTGTAATCAGCTTATTACATCCTCTGACAGGGGAGATCAGAGTGAACATGTGGACAAACATATAAAATAATTGCATAACAGAAAAACATACACAAATAATAAACCCACAACCCTGTAATTCTATGATATATAAAACATTTTACTAAATCAGTAACAATTAAAACAACAAAAGCAGATCTATAGTCAATAATGATACTTGTGTTTTTTGTTTGTTTTGTTTTATAATATGATCTACCAACATCATAATCAACACAAGTTTACTTTTAAAACATACAAATGTAGCCAATTTACAGAAAATAGCAACATTTTTCTATGCTAAAATATTGCCCCTATGTCCAACAATCCACAGTATATAACCCTTCTATATACAAATAATTAAATGTTATCCGTCATGTTTCAACAACAGATCCTACATGACAATGAAGATGGCTTCTACCATTCTAAACCCTTATTACACTATCTTAAAATGGACTTGTCCATCTTTCAATCTTGGCAAGAGCAAATTTCAAAATAACTACTGACTGATTAGCAAAAAATGCATGATCAATGATCAAACAGCATCAATGTATCGGCTCATCTTGGCCAACACTCGTTGCATGGATAAATTTACTCACAGCTAGCTGGGTAACATGTAAATCACTCTATTTTTTGAGACTAATTTACATATTTGTTTAAGAACTGAAAATCACTATCTTTACTTATAACTTTAATTAAGCATAAACAGTAGTTATTTGTTGTTTCTATTCAGTTTTAAAGCTCAATTGTGAGACAAGTTTCTGTAATTTATATCAATAAGTTTCAAGTCAGCTTCCTGGAAACATCATATGAGGAAACATGGTTGTGACCAGAGTAGGGTTCAAACCCATGAGATAAGAGACAGACACCTTATTCACGAGGCCAATGTCCATCAAACTGTATTATTGAATGATTACCTTGAGTACTGATACTGTCCATGATAGTTGATTATTTATATCAGAAATGACCATTTATAGTTGAAAATGAATAATATAATTGACCAATGAAAATGAACATCAGGATTGGCTAATGACAATTAACTATGAATACAATAATTGGTTAATAAAAGTTGACAATGAACATCAGAATGGCCAATGACAGTTGACAATGAATATAATAGTTATCCATTGAAAGTCAACATTGATTATCAGAAATCGCCAATGAAAATGAACTGTAAGTATCTGACCTAGCCAATAAAATTTGAGTATGAATATAAAAACTGACTAATAAAAACATTAGTATTAGCCAATTAAAATGAACTATGACTACAAAAATTGTCTTTGAGTATAATCATTAACCAATGAAAGTTGACTGTGAATAATTTATTGGGCAATAAAAATTGAATATGAATAGCAGAATTGGCCAATGAAAGCCAACTTATTTTATTAGACTACCAAAATAATGATAACAGCCAATAATAAACATGCCACACAAGTAACAACAATTATATACATAATTTAACAACACAATAATTATTAATATGCATATTTGATAACCTGCTAATTCAATACATTTTACAAAAACACTAAGTACAAAAATAATACACAAAATTGTAACAAATACAGTTTTATAAACCACTCAGAACAGCAAACATTCATTTATACTGGACTTAAATTTTTTCATATCCATTCATTTCAAAAACCATTTTTTTAAATTTTCAATTTAAGTCAACTACTGTTTTGATAAAATGTTCAATATTCAGCTTTTCAATTACTATTGAATATCATAC